ACACGTGAAGTTTTGAAGCTTGCTGTCAATACAACAAAATAGCATACATATCAAATTGCATATATATCAACATATGTGTAACTCCATCTATTGAAAAAAAATCCGCATTATTAACCGGTACACCTTGCTTGGGGCACTGTTCCTCGAAGACTTTGTGCTCTATGATTTACGCACATGTCACCTATAGAAAGCTGCTTTGAACATCCATGTATAGATTAGCTGCCCCGATTCTAACATCTTATGGTCTAACACAGCACTTATTACCCATCCTGTTAAAGCTTGATTTATTTGCCTTCTCCATCAGACTGTAAAACTCTTTAATGGCAGGAATCATGCTACCTCCACTTTGCATTTCCAGCGCCTTCCTCAGAACCGCAACGCTACTGAACAACCAGCCATTGAATTGGCTGAGTGGGCACCCTGCCTATTTCATAAAGTTGTTAGGAGCAGACTTTGCCTTGCTTATAACTCCGAACTTAAGATTTTCTGGCAAGTTACGGGTTCTCCATAAATCTTGGACTGCTCTAAAATGCACCTGAAATTACACGTCACACTCATGCTATGGAAGAAGGCTTTGGCAGTAGCATGCGATCCTGAGCAGAGCAAGAAGTAAGAGGTCCAGGGAAGAAGAGGTAGTCGTTTCTTCACTGCTATTGGGGGCCTAGAATGAGAGATTTTTCAGATGTTAGGGATGAGGTAATTGGCAGATGTATCTGATGTTGTTCCCAGAATAGGGGAAAATTATGTAAAGAGGCATCTTTGAAAAAGATCAAGCAATGCTTGCTTACTCTGAAGTGGTAGCATGTATTTACATGTCTTATCTTCCCCACTGGAATGTGAGCTACTGGAAGGCTGGGGCCTTGGCTTATTTTATTCATGTTTGTAACTCTAACACCTACCAGGTTGTCTGGCACAAGGTGGACACTCAATACTCGTTTATTGAATGAATGAATGTATTATAAGCTCCATGAAGGAACAACGCTATTACATTTCTTTGATTCTCATAAAGCGATACCCTAGTATTATGCCGGTAATAAGTAGGTACTTGAAATAACGAATGAATGAAAGGGTGGCGATGAGATATGAAAGACCTACCACATATCGGGAACTTAATACATTCCATTCATTAGCTCAGTTAATCAATCCCCCATCAACCCTATACTGTTGGCATTGGTTCACATAAGGAAACTAAAGCTTAAGGTGGGAACCGGACTGGGCCAGGGTCACACTTTTAGTTGTTGGCTAAGTCGGTTTTGATTACAAGTTCACCTAATTTGGAAATAGACTATTATGGTAGGTATTTTGCTCCTGCTGGTGACTCACGTTTGTTAGTGTCCACCCCTGTTTTCTCAAGACCATGGTCTTCTACTTTGTATCAGAAATATCAGGGCCCCTGTTGCTTCAACAGGAAGAAATAGGACTGCATTACATGCAGTGAGTATGCACACAAGTCAGGCTGAATGAGGGCCGTGTTTTTCTTTTCTTTTTATAATTATTTTTCCATAACTGAAATGATGGTTCCTTAATTTTAGAATACAAAAGGTTGGGCCCGTAAAGCTAGGATGTTTAAAATTGGCTTTTGGAATATGAAGGACTCAGCTGACACCTTTTTGGAAGCCAGTAAAGGGAAATGTATTTGAATTCGTGACATTGTCAGCTGAGCTAAGGCGAATCTTGGCATTTAAAAGGCAAACCTTAAAAAGTGGGGTCAGAAGAGAGCCAGGTATGTGTGCAAAAGGGCCTCATTAGAAAAAGGGGAAGAACATTCAGTTCTGGTCTCGAAGGACTCGTTGCTCCAGGATCACAGGAGGCCCTTGGAGTTTGAGTCAGAGCTCAGGCAGAATTGGAAGCACCCCCTTGACTGGAGGGCACTCTCTCTGGGAAGGGCAACATCTTTGACCAGAGCATCAGCTTGTAGGGGGAGGTGGGGAATGAGGAAGAAGTGAGGAAGAGAGAGCCCACACACACAGTTAACCAGACCCGCTCACTTAGTCCTGGGAATGAACAAGGTGAATCACCTGTGAAAACCGATGCATTGAAATTAGCAAGCTGTCTGCAGGCTGTGCACTGCACAACCCCAGGGTGAGCTATTTACCTGGTGTCCCTCTGGGGCTATATAGTACCCAACCTGCATAAACATGTAGCAATGCTGAGTGACATATACCAGGCACATCTCTGTCTACCTTGGCAATTTAAGTGATCCTGATTATACCTCCGATAATACAAATCAATATTTATTGAATGCTTACCAGTTATCATCTAAAAAACTCCAATGGATATTATTGTACAAAGTTTTATCTAAAGATTTGGCCAAGTCAGATTTGATTGCAAGTTCACCTAAGTGCATATTTCAGAGTGCTCATTAAACTGATATCACTACCATTCATGTGTTTATTCTAATAAACAA